AAAAGGAAAGATGCTATTGTTTTAATTTTATTCATTTAGGTGCCATAGCCCTCTTTAAACTAGATGCTGGAATATCCTTTCCATTACAGAGTATGTGAAGCCATCAATTTAAGAGCCAGTGTAGTAGTAGTAGTAATAATAATAATAATAATAATAATAATAATAATAATAATATATTTATACCCCGCCCATCTGGCTGGGCCTCCCCAGCCACTCTGGGCGGCTTCCATAGAAACCCAAAATACACTAAACACTAGTGTAGTGCAGTATAGTGGTTAGAGCATCAGATGAGGACTTAGGAGTCCATGGTTCAAATGCCCACCCAAACTTGCAGCACCCTGGGCCAGTCACTATTTCTCAGAGTAATCCTATCTGGAGTGGTTGTGGTGAGGATAAAATGGAAGTGGGGATTATGTAAGTAGCCTTGAGAAACTTGGAGGAAAGACACAATATACAGGCAATGCCGTCCCCATCCCTCCCACCTATGCAGGGGTTATGTTCTGGCCTCCCGTGCTCTTAACTGAAATCACGTAAAATGGGGAGCATTCGCTAAAAAGCACCTAAACACCTGCTTTTTTCCTGCTCTCCAGCTCTCTCTCCAATCTAGACTAAAATATCGGAGTTGAAGCTCCGGGGACCAGCTGGAGGCTGAAGAACGCACAAGAAAGCAGTTGTTGCTGAACTTTCCTGCACGTCAGCTATTAGGTGGGGAGGCTGAGCAGCCTATACAAAGCCCCGCTGTGCTTTGAGTCTATTTGAGGCTTCCTCTGCCCTTACTGACGTCCTCTTTAGGCTCTGGGGAGGGTCTCCTCGTGAGCCACAAGGACTCTCCAGCTCTCTCCCACCATTCCCGGGTTTGAATTAAATAGTTTATTTATTTCCCAGCACCGCGGGTAAACACTATGGTTACCAGATGTCCCCGTCTCCCAGAGACAGTCCCCGGATTTACAAATCTGTCCCCAGACAAAATCTGTCCCCGGAACATCCCCGGATTTCATTTAATGTCCCCGGATTTATATTTTAAGTGTTGTAGATTTCTTAGTAGGAAATGAATGTTGCTTGATTGGTTCAACGGCACAAGTCACATCATATGGGGACTTCCTTCGAGGCAAAATGGTGGGTACCACGGCAGCGAGCAGCTCCTGAAGCCAGCCAGAGCCAACTGCGCTACCAGGCTGACTCTGGGCTGCTGAGACTGCCGCTGCCGAGAGGGAACTGGGGATGCCTGGCGCGTCAACTGGGGGAACTGCCCACCCCCCCCCCCATAATCCAAATCGAGCCAGGAGCGAGAGTGCCTGTCCACCTGGCCAACTGTCCAGCAGCGCTCCAGGGCCAGTAAAAACCCTGGAGCTGATGTAGGGAGAAGGAGGAAAGGAGAAGGAGAAGGAAGAGAGAGAAAGTGGAAGGAGAAAAAAGAGGGGAGGCCCGACCTTGCTGCATTGCTGCTGCCGCCACTGCTGAGGAAGAGAGGTAGGAGAGCACCGGGAGGGCAAGGACACGTGGCTGAGCCCAGGCCCGACCCGAGCCTACTCCATGGCAGATAGCACTCCAAAAGATCAGGCTGGGGCCCAGAGGAAGGCTGCGTGACAGAAGAGACCCAGAAGAGAAGATATTACTTCTTAATTTTTTTAAAAAAATGATTTTTCAAATAAAATAAAAAGTGTCCCCGGATTCTTTGAAAACAATCTGGTAACCTTAGTAAACACAGTTGTGTGAGAGTCCATTGTGCATAAGTGGAGGGGAAGCCTGTAAATGAAAATGCAACTAAAAGAATAAATGCCATCGAGGAGCAGGAAGGGTCAGGAGCTGGAGAGATTTAGCTTAGGGCTATACTGAAGAGCTCCACAATGAATTTCACCCTTATTCAAAAGAGAAGCCATTTCAAACTTACAAACAAAATGCCACCCTGGTCCTGTAGCTTAGAGATGCTGAACTTGAGGCGCGCCAGGTGTTGCTGGACTCCAACTCCCATCAGCCCCGGTCAGCATGGCCAATGGTCAGGGATGATGGGAGTTAAAGTTCAGCAATATATAGAAGGTCACAGCCAGTTTCTTCATCTACGATATGACTTCTGTGGAATGGGAAACGTCCAAATGTGACAAGGTAAGGGGAAATCCCCGTACGAACCATGAACAATAACTTGCCTGTGGGGCTACAGAGAACTCCATGGTGGGAGCTGGCTGGAGCAGCAAACTCTTTATCATCTCCTGATAGGATCACATGAAAAAGCATTTGGGCACAAGTGGCAGCGAGTCAAGGATTAAACATTTTGCATGCTCATGTGCTGTATCATCACCGCGCTCCCAGTAGGAATTTGAAACACCTGGTTTGAAGCCTGATCTCCAGACTTTCAGGTCAGATTTATTTTTAGCAGTTAAGGAAAGCTTTCCAAGGGCTCAGCTTGCGAAACCAAAGCAAAGCACGGAAACAGCTTTGACTCCTCCGCAGACTAGCTGAAATAAGCCTTGGGAAACCCAAGCTGCTAGACAAAATCTGAGCTTCCTTTGCAAAGCCTGAGTAGCTGAAACAACAACAACGTACTTAAATTGGTGCATGCTTATCCTTAAAGCAGGGCAACATGAAGCGGTGACTTTCAAGGGTTGAGATTATGACCATGCACTGGAGAAAAACGTGTGTGTGTGACCAAATCAGAATCTATTGTTATGGATGGGGGGGGCAGATTCCCCTAGATGCCTGGGTGTCAGATCCTCTCCATAATTCCTGCATTTAGCAAAACTTAGAAATGAAGTTTGATTAAACTTTACTAAACATGGAAACCCCCTGGATTTAGTTAGTCTGAGAAGCCAAGCCAGCTCAGCAGAGCTAGCTGGGTGGGTCTTTAAAGGTAAAGGGACCCCTGACCATTAGGTCCAGTCGTGGCCGACTCTGGGGTTGTGGCGCTCATCTCGCTTTATCGGCCGAGGGAGCTGGCGTACAGCTTCCGGGTCATGTGGCCAGCATGACTAAGCCGCTTCTGGCACAACGGGACACCGTGACGGAAGCCAGAGTGCACGGAAATGCTGTTTACCTCCCCTCCGGAGTGATACCTATTTATCTGCTTGCACTGGTGTGCTTGCGAACTGCTAGGTTGGCAGGAGCTGGGACAGAGCAACGGGAGCTCACCCCGTCACGGGGATTTGAACCACCGACCTTCTAATCGACAAGCCCAAGGGGCTCAGTGGTTTAGACCACAGTGCCACCCATGTCCATCATAGGCTGCAAATGCTCTGCAATCCCTCCATCTAGGTGCAGGTTGTGTAAATAAAACCATATATTGTAAAGACACCACAGTCTTTACCTAATTTCTGTGCCTAATTTCTGAAAGAAACATGAATCCTGGGTAAGTGCCTGGAATCTCACACTTTTCAGAGAGAGGAATGGCACGTAACAATATTCTTGCTTGTCCGGAAGCCACTTGACCAACTTGTTTTGGTATCTCCTTTCTGTAGTTTACGTCTTTCCTTGAGGAGGGATCCAGGCCCTGTCGCCATGGCTGGTGATAAGCAGGAGCTTAAGAGAAGCATCTCCATCATCCCCTGCTTTGTGTTTGTAGAGGTAAGGATGCCACTGGATTTAGCCAAATGAACAAGTGACTGTTTCCCTGGTACTGAGAAAGGAGTAGCCGGCATGGGTTAGTTAGGCCTCCAGGGCTCAGTAGCACAAGGACAACCCCAATTGGAAAGTGGTGGACTCTCTCCTTCCTTGGGGGTTTTTAAGCAGATGTTGTGTGGCCATCTGTCCAAGATTCTTTAGCAGTGTTTCTTATTTTGCAGGGGTTTGGCCTAGATAATCCTTGAGGTCCCTTCCAAGTCAACAACTGTATGGTTCCTTGCTAATTTTGCAAAGGCCTCTCTTTCCACACCCACGGAGCCAGGGCAGCTCTGGGAGATGTTGAGTATGGACGTCTGAAGAGGGGCAAACAGACATAGACCTCCCCACTCCAGACCTCCCCACACAATCTGGAGGAGCCATCAGAGGGAGACCAGCAATGAGGTGTACATCTCTGGGGCAGTGTCAGCAGTGAGACACCGCTGCCCCTTCCTTGCACAGAGCTCCTTCGCATGCGCCACACACATGGGGTGTAGTTTGAACAGTTGCCTGGCCGTGGCAGGCAGGCAGGGATGGGAAACAAAGCGGGCAGGTGTACGAGAGCTCTGCCCTTCCGCTCCCAAGCCCCTGAAAATGCGGTTGCCACGGTCCGGTTCACAGGCGATTGAAGTCCCGGCAGGGGACGTCAGGACCAGGGGCAAGATGGCGGGGTGGGAGTAGGAACGGCGCTCCAGAAACCAAGAGTCAGGAAGCCAAGAGTCTGAGGGTCAGAGAGCCAGGAGTCAAGAAGCCAAGGGTCTGAGGGTCAGGAAGCTGAGGTTCAAGGATTGGGAAGCAAGAAGCCAAATGCAGCAAGGCAGGGAGCGTGTTGCTGTGGCAAAGAGCCAAAGGGAAATGCTGACCCTATATCTTTTCTTGGCTCTTGCCAGCAGGTGCTGTGAGTTACCAATCGGCCTCACCTGTGAGGCTGCACCTTGCCTCTTCAGTACAAACTTAGGAAGGCCCCAGTCCTGCAAAGTCCTACTGGTCACAGGGCTTGGCTCCTGCACGCACACCTGACACTGGTCACCTACACGGGGTCTCAGACACCAGCCCTCTCCCTGCGATCATCTGCAGTAAATCGCCAGGATATGGAACGGAGCCTGGGGAGTTATTAGGTGCTCAGGAGGAGGGGGCAGGAGAAGGAGAAGGAGGGGTTGCATCAGAAGGAGGCAACTGTCTGCCTGACTTTGAGTCAGGCAGGCTTGGTGCCTTTCCCGCCAGCCGTGATGTGATGCACAGCTACAGCAGGCACCCAAGCGTGAAAAGGAGTACACGAGGAATCTTGCACGGAGGAGCAGGCAGAGGGCGGGGTGGGGGCTGCCAAGCTCCAGCGGCTCCAGGGACCCGGCTCTCCTGGCTGCCTCCGTCTCCCATTCAGTCCTCAACGCCGCTGCCCTGCCTGATGTGCCATGTTCTACTTCCAGCTGGTGATTATGGCGGGCACTGTGGTGCTGGCGTACCACTTCGAATACACAAACACTTTCCCGGTCCACCTCCAAGGCTTCTTCTGCTACGACAGTGCCTACGCAAAGCCCTACCCTGGCCCCGAAGACACAAGCCGGGCACCTCCCGTCCTCGTCTACTCTCTCGTCACTGCTGTGCCCACCGTAACGGTAAGAGCCCAGCAGGGCACGTGGTGGGTGGGTGGGTGTGGAGGGGGTGACAACCCCCCTGCTGCTGTTGTGAGATTTAGGGTCCACATGTTCCCTCGGGGTAAGATCACCAGGGAGCGTGGTTTCAGATATCAAAGTCTAGGGACTAAAGGAAGCAGAGGTGCAGCTAGCTCTTTCTTTGCAAAGAACTTTGAAGCTCCTCTGGAAAAATGGTGTGGAGTTGTTCAGTCATTTTCTTTTGTACTAGAATTCAAGAACCATTCCGGCATGTAGATCAAACATGCCGGACACACACATGCAGATATATATGCTTGAGATGCAGGTATGCTGCGACTAGCCACCAAGGTTGGGCCGATTCATCCATTTCGGGCGCCTGAAATTGACATGCGCTCATTCATAAGTCAGTACTGTCCCATTTCTGCATTAATCTGCAATTATGGAAAAAGTCATTACAAAAATGCATATGTAAATGTGAACTTAAATTGTATTTTGGAATGCATTTTCTGAGAAAACACACACACACACAACCCTAAATTATGCATTTTGGTACATTTTATTAGCTGAACACTACATCACAAACTTTGGAGGCACACATTTCAAGCTCTGCGTTCGCCTAGGAGGTTCTTGTCAGGCCACTTTGTATAGGAATTTCTAATGTATGAATTCTTCAAGAACTGCCGCTACACGCAAAAAATAGTCTGAGCAAGACACTCACATATAGGGATAGAGGAGAAATTAAATTTGAATTTCATTTAAAGCTGAATCCATGAAATCCACATTTTCTAGAACAATATGCAAACCAAAACACAGCTATCCTTTGAAATTCACATGTCTCTGAATTTTGCAATACAGTTCTCCAGCCAACCAATGTTTACAAAAAGGCATGTTTTAGGGGGAAGGGTGCATAGAAATGAAGATATTACTGAAAATAACATACAATAGCATTGTATGTTTGACACGAACGTGTGTCAAAACTACGTATAAAATATGTTAATTAGGAGAAATTCGCAGAACTATGGAAAAATAGGAAACCAAGAGAACCAGAACTGAAATGTCCTTCCATCCTTACTCTTGTGTATGTTGAGAATTTGCAATGCTTCACCTCAAATTTATTAATCTAATCTATTGTTACATTTTAATCCCACCCTTCCTGTAAGGAGCTCAGGGCAGCATGCGTCTTCCCATGTATCCTCACAAAATCTTGGTGAAGTGGGTGAGAGTGGGAGACAGGGATTGGTCTAAGAGCACTGAGCAGGTATTTGAACCCAGTTCTCCCTACACCCACAGTCAAACCCTTTTGCCAGTCCATCAAACTGGATCTCATCTTATTGAATTAATATGCAGGGGAAATTGCAGACCAATATGCATACAGTAGGACTGAGCCAAGCTTACTGGGACTGTCTTCATTGCACACATTTAGAGTTAATATTACCCTACCGTTCTGTTAAACATGCAAGCTGAATGTCTGACTCTATTCCCGCTGCTGCTATCCCAGTGCCCTCCTTTAATTCAGACGCCATCTCTTGTCAGTGTCTGGACAATGATTCCCTTGGAGGAAGGACAGTGACCCACATTGCAAGAAGGTCACTGGTTAATGATATCCTGACCAACCCAATCTTAAACTAGCTTTTTCAAAACAATCATCTTGCCATCATTTTATCTATTTTCAGACTTGTGTCTGTGGGATACCCAAAGTACAGACGCAACATTTAAAACAACAACACACTTTTTTGGGTAACAACCTCCCAATCACCTATTAATTAAAAAAAATAATGCCCTAACTTAAAAAGCTTGTCTAAAAAAGGATACGTTTTTGTGGGAATGTTTAGGGATGCAGGAGAGGATATATTGTTTGATTATATCCTTTCCAACTTGTGTTAACAATTTAGCAGAGTAACATTCCCCTTTTTAAACTTACACAGCGGAAGCGTTTGCTCAGGCTTGCTAAAGCCTCTAAAATACGCTTTCCTTTTGGTAATTCCCCATTTAGTTCCTCATAAAAGATAGACATGGCACAGTCTTCTATAAAAGTATAAAAAGAGTTTACTCACACATTCTGTTCACAATTGGATCCCAGAAGGCAGACTTAAGTTAGAAAAGTAATATACACCTAGAAACTGTCCCATAAGGAGACAGCTCCTTTGTTCTCTCTCGGCTGCAAGCCAAGAGAGCATCTTAGGCTAAGCAGATGTTGCTTCGTCAACGAATGTGATCAGAGAGAGAGAGATAGCTGACCAGTCCTGCTCTTTTGTTACCTGGGCAGGTGAGGTCACGCCCACCTCTAGTCACATGCAGAGGAAGTCTGTCCCAGACACGAGAAACAGGAAGTTCCAACTGGCTGGTCCAAACATCCCCTTTTATGTCCACTCTTAGGGATGTTGTGTTTGACTGCTCTTGTGTTTCACATCCCACAGTTTTCAGCTGTGACATAAAACTATACAGTGTTGATGACAGGCTAAGCTCCAGAAGGAGCTTGTTCTGCAACCAGGGTGCTGTTGCTGACAAATCCCTCTGATCAATTAGCCCCCAGATGTCACTTAATGCTGGAGCGACTAATAGGGCTTCTCCAATTGATCTCAAGTCATGGTCTGGTCTGGGACAAGGCATTCCTACAGGTAGCAGAGTCTCAAACAAAAACCTTGAATTGGGCTTGGTGACAAATGGAGATCCTTCAAGCCTTGCACCCAGGCAGATCTCTGGGGGATGCTATCTGGTCAGGATGCTATAGAGCAGCCTTTCTCAACCTGTGGGTCCCCAGATGTTGTTGGACTACAACTCCCATCACCCCTAGCTAGCAAGGCCAGAGCTCAGGGATGATGGGAGTTGTAGTCCAACAACATCTGGGGACCCACAAGTTGAGAACCACTGCTATAGATGCAGGTGTCCTTGCAGGAAATGCAGACTCATTTGGGTGTTGGGTGTTTGTTGAAGGGTGACAGAAAGAACAGGGTAAGGACATAAGAAGAGCTTCAAGGATCAGATCCAGCGCCTATCTAGTCCAGCATCCTGTTTTCACAGTAGACAGCCAGATGCCTACAGGATTCCCACAGTAAAAAGAAAAGGTAAAGGACCCCATGACGATTAAGCCAGTCAAAGGCGACTATGGGGTTGCAGTGCTCATCTCGCTTTCAGGCCAAGGGAGCCAGTGTTTGTCCACAGAAAGCTTTCCGGGTCATGTGGCCAGCATGACTAAACCGCTTCTGGTGCATGGAGGACTGTGACAAGTGCCAGAGCTCACAGAAACGCTGTTTACCTTCCCGCTGCAGTGGTACCTATTTATCTACTTGCACTGGCGTGCTTTTGAACTGCTAGGTTGGCAGGAGCAGGGACCGAGCAACAGGAGCTCACCCTGTCGTGGGGATTCAAACAGCGCCACCCACGTCACTAGGACGCCCACAAGCAAAATATCACTGCAACGGCACTCTCCTCACCTGCAATTCCTACCAACTGGTATTCAGAGGCCTACTGCCTCTGATGGTGCACAAAGGTTCAACTCAGGAAATGTTTCTGCACACCATCGTATTTTTATCCGAAGTCTACCAAATGTTGTTGTCATCTTTAGTCAGGGCAAGCCCAAGACATTTGGGCACCGAAGGTAAACCCCAAAATGAAGCCTAACGCTGCCAGGGAATAAGAGGGGAGTGAAAATCTACATCAGAACAAGGAGGGAATAAAGATCTACCCTGAGATCTGCTGCCCATGTGGATCCTGCTGCCTCAGGTGGTTGTCTCACCTTGCCTCATGGGTGGGCTGGCCCTGTCATGATGCATTCTTGCCATGTGGGTTCAAAAGCATTTGTGGACTGGAAGCCCTTTAGAATGCAGTAAGTTATTGTTCTGCTCTAGAAAGCCTGGACTGGATTCTCATTGTTGCTTCCTGCTAAGGCTTGTCCTGCTAGACTTGCTGTTGTTGTTTAGTCGTTTAGCCGTGTCCGACTCTTGGTGACCCCATGGACCTGAGCACGCCAGGCCCTCCTGTCTTCCACTGCCTCCCGCAGTTTGGTCAAACTCATGTTAGTAACTTCGAGAACACTGTCCAACCACCTTGTCCTCTGTCGTCCCCTTCTTCTTGTGTCCTCAATCTTTCCCAACATCAGGGTCTTTTCCAGGGAGTCTTCTCTTCTCATGATGTGGCCAAAGTATTGGAGCCTCAGCTTCACGGTCTGTCCTTCCAGTGAGCACTCAGGGCTGATTTCCTTAAGAATGGATAGGATAAGAATGGATAACCCTGCTAGACTAGGATTGCCATATTTCAAACTGTGAAAATCCAGACAGAAAAGTTGTCAAGCTTTTTTTGGCAACATCGCTTTTAAAAATGCAATTTTTGAGCTATTTTTATGGGAAAACGGCACTGTCGACATGGGCTGCCATACGTCCGGATTTTCCCAGACATTTTTCCTGATTTCCACCTGAACACTGCTACCGACTACAGTATTCCATATACTGAAAAATCCAGACGTATGGCAAACCCTATCTAGACTTCCATCCCAGCACTGTCAGATTCCTGTCAGGTCTTTTCCTAAGTAGAAATGAAAAATCCAGAAAAGGAAAATGTGCTACTTCCTCAAGGTAATGCGTTCCATCGACATACTGCTGTTATCATTAGGGGATGCTTCCAGATGATCAAATCCTTTCCCCCCCTTCGGTCAGTTGCCTGGGGAAAATAGACTCCTTCAATGATTTCTGTTGGCCTTCATCCTGCCTGGGAGAATGTGAAATAGTACCCAAAAACCTTGTGGAAATGTCCAAAAATCCATAATGGAGCTTCTGACACTCCAAGTGATTCACAGCCTTTGGCCATTCCTTTGCAAGCCTTCTGTTGCTCTGCAATCATTTGTTTTTATTGAATAATAAATAATAATAATAATAATAATAATAATAAATTTTATTTATATCCCGCCCTCCCCAGCCAAAGCTGGGCTCAGGGCGGCTAATAACAATCAAAATAATCCAGCATTCTAAAAACATTCATTATAAAATTAATTAAAATCAAATTGATGGCAACCATTAAGCAAAATTCTGGGCAGATTGCCAGAGGAGGGGGTCAGGCTGCGCCCTGACCAAAGGCCTGGTGGAACAGCTCTGTCCTGCAGGCCCTGCGGAAAAATGTCAGGTCCCGCAGGGCCCTAGTCTCTTGTGACAGAGCGTTCCACCAGATTGGAGCCGCGGCCGAGAAAGCCCTGGCTCTAGTTGAGGCCAGCCTAACCTCTCTGTGGCCTGGGATCTTCAGGATGTTTTTATTTGCAGACCGTAAATTTCTCTGTGGGACATACCAGGAGAGGCGGTCCCGTAAGTACGAGGGTCCTAGGCCGTATAGGGCTTTAAAGGTTAAAACCAGCACCTTAAACCTGATCCTGTACTCCACCGGGAGCCAGTGCAGCTGGTATAGCTCCGGGTGAATGTGATCCCGCAGCGAAGACCCCATAAGGAGTCTCGCTGCGGCATTCTGCACCCGCTGGAGTTTCTGGGTCAGTCTCAGGGGCAGCCCCACGTAGAGCGAGTTACAATAATCCAATCTGGAGGTGACAGTCGAGTGGATCACAGTGGCTAGGTCAGGGCGAGAGAGATAAGGAGCCAACTGCTTAGCTTGGCGGAGATGAAAAAATGCCACCTTTGTTATAGCTGTAATCTGTGCCTCCATAGAGAGGGAGGTATAGAAGATTACACCCAAACTCTTAACGGACGATGCTGACACTAATTGCACCCCCACAAGAGATGGGAGTTGCCCCCTCAATCCCATATCGCCCCGTCCCAGCCAGAGGACCTCTGTCTTCGAAGGATTTAACTTCAACCGGCTCCCACGTAACCATCCAGCCACAACTTCCAGACATCTGGTCAGTGTGTATGGGGCCGAGTCAGGATGGCCATCCATCAACAGATAGAGTTGGGTGTCATCGGCATACTGATGGCAACCCAGCCCAAAACTCCAGACAAGCTGGGCGAGGGGGCGCATAAAGATGTTAAAAAGCATCGGGGAGAGAATCGCCTGAGGCACTCCACACACCAAGGAGTGGCGCGGTGACAATTCCCCCCCAAGCGCCACCCTCTGTCCCCGACCAGAGAGAAACGAGCGCAGCCATTGAAGGACTGTGCCCTGGATCCCCACGTCGGCAAGGCGGTGGTCCAGGAGTTCGTGATCGACCATGTTGAAGGCTGCTGACAGGTCTAGAAGAATCAGCAGCCCCGACCCGCCTCGATCCAGCTGCCTGCGGAGATCATCTGTTAGGGCGGCCAGAGCCGTCTTGGTCCCATGACCAGTGCGGAAGCCGGACTGGAATGGATCGAGAGCCGATGTTTCATCCAGAAACCTACCAAGCTGTTCAGCAACCGCTCTCTCAATCACCTTACCCAGGAATGGAAGATTCGAAACCGGGCGGTAATTGGATAGATCTAAGGGATCTAATGATGTTTTCTTTAAGAGCGGACGCACCACTGCCTCCTTCAGTTCCCCTGGGAATATCCCGGTGCCAAGGGACAAATTGATGATATCACCCAGGGGGGCCCGCACCTCGTCTGGACACGCTCTAATCAGCCAAGACGGGCACGGGTCAAGAGGACAGGTGGTGGGCTTTCCAGCTCGGAGGAGTCTGTCCACATCGGCTGGGGATATCCGGTCAAAGTGGTCCAATACTGGACCCGAGGACAGTCGAGGGCCTCCAGTTCCTTTATTGTATCCAAATTGGCAGGGAGGTCATGGCGGAGCAACAGGACCTTCTCCGCAAAAAAGCTCGCAAATGCCTCATAGCTGTGTGTCAAATTGTTATTTAAATTTGGCTGTCCTTCAAGGGACGTTAAAGACCTAATTATACTAAATAATTGCGCCGGGCGAGAGCTAGCGGAGGCAATGGAGGCCGAGAAGTAGGACTTCTTAGCGGCCTTCACTGCCATCTCGTAGGTTTTCATAAAAACCCTATAAGATGTTCTTGAGGCTCCGTCACGGGCACCCCGCCATACTCGCTCTAGCTGTCTGAGGTCCCGCTTCATTTTCCGGAGCTCCTTGGTAAACCAGGGAGCCCGGTTTCTGCGGGGTCGCAGAGGGCGCCTAGGTGCGATCTCATCGATGGCTGCTAGGAGCTGGATATTCCAGCCCTCAACAAGCTCAGTCAATGAGTCGCCAGGGGGAGCAAGGTCCCGCAAGGCCTGACAGAATCTATCAGGGTCCATCAGCCTCTGCGGGCGAGCCCAAATTGGCTCGCCACCTAAGCAGGGTGGGGGTGGAAAATTAATCCTGGCTTTCAGAGCGTAGTGATCAGACCATGGCACCTTCATCGAAGGAGACATGATCACATCTATACCGACGCCAAAGATCAAATCCCAGCGTGTGGCCTGCTTGATGAAGGATTTTCATCATTAACAAGGATACATTCAACATCTCTGTTTTCAATTCATAGGGTCCTTTCTACAGGTCTGTTACATTCGGCATGAAACTCTGCTGTCATAGACCTTGTGAGATGTGGGGGGAGAGAAACTGGGAGGGGGGGTGGGAGGAAAGAAGAGGGGATAATGATCTTTCATGCTTTTGCTTACTGTATGTGCAGAGCTTTTATGTCAGCGTCACGAGATTTTGCCAGCAAAAGCAGACAAATAAAGAACCTCCAATCCTATTTTTAAATATCGATCTAATTTGTTTACTTATTTTCTTCGCCCTTCCCTCCCATTTTTGAGCTGTGTTTCATCATCGTGTAGTTCCGAGTATATACAGTGGAGACAATGATAATAAATAATAATTATCACAATTAGAAAAGCCTTAGACTTTAAACCATAGCGTCACCTCAGTCCAACTGATGGGGAAAAACCACATAACCATGGTGAAAACCCTAGGTAAAGGTAAAGGGACCCCTGACTATTAGGTCCAGTCGTGGCCGACTCTGGGGTTGTGGCGCTCATCTCGCTTTATAGGCCAAGGGAGCCGGCGTACAGCTTCCGGGTCATGTGGCCAGCATGACTAAGCTGCTTCTGGCGAACCAGAGCAGCGCACAGAAACGCCGTTCACCTTCCCGCTGGAGTGGTACCTATTTATCTACTTGTACTTTGACGTGCTTTCGGACTGCTAGGTTGGCAGGAGCTGGGACTGAGCAATGGGAGCTCACCACGTTGTGGGGATTAGAACCGCCGACCTTCTGATCAGCAAGTCCTAGGCTCTGTGGTTTAACCCACAGCGCCACCTGCGTCCCAATGGTGAAGACCCTACTCAATCCCAAAAGCTTGGATTGCACCTGCAAACTATGCCTAAATCTCAGTAACGAGGGAGCCAGACCTGCTTCTAGAGGGCGGGAGTATATATATTTTCTATTTTTTTCTTGAAATAATTTTACCCTCTCCCTCCCATGGATGCTGTTTCTCCCCCGCTTTCATCCCAGGAAGAGGGAAAGAATAGGGAAGGCAGCAGCTGTGATTTGACTCCCCTCCAGCCATTTCTACGCCTGCATCTGTGGCTTCTCTGCTGCTGCAGTCTGTCTGCTTCTCTTTATGGCAGCTTCTGCTCCCTTGGGGTTGGGGAGATGGGGCATGTCTCTCCTCACAGGCCCAGCTCCCTCTGATGGTCCAATCCATAGGGCATCTCAGTGCTGCTGCCCACCCCACAACCACGGTACCATCTAGTGGGGAAGTGATATAGATAGAGAAAGCGCGCCTCGGTTTAAGAATGGTTTTGGTTTAAGAACAGACTTCCGGAACGGATTAAGTTCGTAAGCCCAGGTACCACTGTAGCTCCCTACTAACTGACTGGGGAAGTGAAATATTAAGTGAGATTGTTGGGCTAAAACCCTGCAGATGGGTGAATGGGCCATAGGCTGTTGCAAAGAACTCTTTGCCAAGCAGACTGTTCAGAGATGTCTGAAAGAAAGATTAAATATTCCTGCTCATCCCCCAAAATAGTCCTCTTGGCTGGTACATCGTGTGACTGTATACCCTGGGTTTCCCACAACATTTAAACCACACCTTTGGCATACCAACATGTGAAATGTGGAGAAAAGATGAGCAGGTCCCCCACCCCCAAAGTAGTCTGTGGTCCATGAAAGTCTATGCTGAAATTTGGGAATTTTTGTATTTTTATGTTGTGAACTGCCCTGAGTTATTCAGATAAAGGGTGGTATACAAATTTAATATATGGAACTAAAAATAAATAAATGCCTGTCCATAATTAATCTATATACAGTCATACCCCGGGTTACAGATGCTTCAGGTTGCGTTTTTTCGAGTTACGGACCTCCAAAACCCGGAAGTACCGGAACGGGTTACTTCTGGGTTTTGGCGTTCGAGCATGCGCAGAAGCGCTAAATCACGCTTTGCACATGCACAGAAGTGCCGAATCACAAACCCACGAGTGCGCAGGTGCACACGGATCACGTTCGCAACCTGAGCGTCCACTGTACACACAATATTGCCAGAAATGTAAAAAGCTTAAACAAACGGAACTAAGAGAAGCTAAAGGACACCTCCGGTTTTTCCAAAAGAACTATTCTTTAGTTGGGTGGGTGTGTAATTTTTTTGAGGTTATATATATGTGTAGTGACTACATTTCATATACAGTGGTACCTCAGAAGTCAAACAGAATTTATTTCGGAAGTCTGTTTGACTTCCAAAACGTTCAGGAACCAAGGCGCGGCTTCCGATTGGCTGCAGGAGCTTCCTGCAGCCAATCAGAAGCTGCATCAGACGTTCAGGTTCCAAAGAACGTTCACAAACCGGAACACTCACTTCCCTGTTTGCAGTGTTCAGGAGCCAAAACATTCAAGTCGCAAGGCGTTCACGAACCAAGGTACGACTGTATTTTATTTAAAGGGGGGGAGGAAATGTGGATTTATTATTATTCAATTCAATTTAATTTATTTAAATTTTTATTTTTGAAATGAGATAATAGACCCTCTCATAGTCACTTTACAGTATGGAAAGCAGGATCACATATAACTATTCTGATACCACCATGAGCATAACTGAAGATTTAAAAAGAATGTCTGGAGAAATCCTAAGTAACAAATGTCAGGATTAGTAGCAGAGATAAACATAATTTTACATGGTTTTCTGATATTACCCTCAAACTCGGGCAAATAGGGATTGCAATAGATTCTCTTCTTCTATCGGATGAGTCACAAATCTTCTCTCTCATCAAGCAGAGACTGCTAAGACCATGAAATCCCAAAACTCTACCTCTCCCAGCCTTTTGTATGTTCATCTGCTTACTTAGGATTGCAGCCCTACCATGGAGTAATGCCTAATTACTTTTATAATCTAGATATCGCATCGCAGAGCTTTTATGCTAGCTCGTCTAAATGCATTCCCCTCATCTGTTTTGTTCGGAAGGTTTCCAAAAATCCCCTTCCAGAACAGATTCTGCTCCTGTAATAAGAAAACACCAGATACATCACGTAATTTTGGACTGCCCTCTTCTCGACACCTGTGGCAGAGATCTCCTTGTGCTTTCCTTACATCCTAAAATATCAATTTACAAAGAGTCTGTAATCCAATATTTATTGAGGGATGATACTCCTGAAACTACCAAGATTGTTTCGGGGTATTTTCCCGAGATCTTTTAAGCTAAATCTAAAGTTGCCTGATTTACTCAATGGCGGCTATCTAGACTTTTATATATTGTGTGTGTTTTGGATTATTAATGCATTTGGATGACATTGTATAATTTTATTGCTTAAACTTATGCCAATAAAGGCCAATAACAATAGCAATAACAGTATCTCTGTAGACAGGTAAAGGTAAAGGTAAAGGTAAAGGGACCCCTGACCATTAGGTCCAGTCGTGGCCGACTCTGGGGTTGCGGCGCTCATCTTGCTTTATTGGCTGAGGGAGCCGGTGTACAGCTTCCGGGTCATGTGGCCAGCATGACTAAGCCGCTTCTGGCAAACCAGAGCAGCGCACGGAAACGCCGTTTACCTTCCCGCCAGAGTGGTACCTATTTATCTACTTGCACTTTGACATGCTTTCGAACTGCTAGGTTGGCAGGAGCAGGGACCACCAACGGGAGCTCACCCCGTCTTGGGGATTCGAACTGCCGACCTTCTGATCGGCAAGTCCTAGGCTCTGTGGTTTACCCCACAGCGCAACCCGCGTCCCTTATCTGCAGACAGGAGCAGACCTAAATTGGACTCGGCTGGGGACCAGAGTCAAAGAGCAGAATTAGGTAGTCACATCTTTTTCTGCAGCAAGCGCCCATATATTTGTTTCAGCCATATATGGTCTCAGAAATGGAGGCCCTGTCTTGCTAAATAAGTGTGTTGGACCCACAAGTGGTGTAAAATCACTGTGTCAGAAGCACTTTCAAAGAAACAGATTCTTTCTCACTTCAGTGGTTAATGAATTGGGCTTGACTTGGCCAAAGCTTATCTTTTCTCTCTCTCTTACCCATCCTGCGTCAGATTCTTGTTGGAGAACTGGCTGCCTTCTTCCTCCAGCCTGAGAGACGCGAGGAGAAGACAATCATCTCAGGAGAGTGTTGCTATTTCAACCCCCTTCTACGGCGCATCATCCGTTTTCTGGGTAAGTGAAAGATGACTTTACCACGCTGCCTTGTTTTCTTGCCTCAAGGTCACTCCCAAGATTCCCTCCTCACTTTCAGCTCCACCTGTTTAAGAGTTATGTGAGCAGAATTCCCTGATCCGGACCTTGTGCAGAATATGGATCAATAAGCTCTCCAAGCCGAGAAAAATAGAGTTCCAAAGTTTTACTGCAAACCATCTTTTAACTGGTTACGAAAAAAGTTAACTGACTAAAATACAAATCAGCTCATTGCTCTTAAACAACTAGCAATGCAGTCCAGTTTTCTTTAGGTTCTTACCTAAGGACTGTTCTCTCTCTGGTCCCAGAGAGAGACACAAATAAGCAAGTTATCTGGCAATATGCCGGCAGTTTCTAAGAGAGGCCCAGTTTCCTAGTCATCAATTAACATAAACACTGAAGCAAAAGGCCTATCAGCACTTCTGTTCAGCCCATGATTTCAAGTGTTTTCAAATCACAGATCTGAGAGGTGTTTTTTTTGTTTTTTGTCCCACTCCTTTCCCAAGAAAAGGAGCTGTTTAATACTGAATTGGAACAGAAAACTCGATTGACGTTTGTTCAAATTTGACAGTAAATGACAAGGTTTTGTGGGGAAAGCAGTGGGACAAAAAAATATTTCTCTTGGACCTGCAACATGAAATCATGGGACAAATGAAACTGTGGATGGCCCCAAAGTTGTAGCAGCTTTAGCTTCACTAGCACCTTTTTTTTGCACTTGCCACAGTTCTCTGCAAAGCAGACGTTCTGCAGATGCAAAGCTCACTATGTTCCACACATAATGCACACTAGGACTGGGCGATATCTCGTTTTCAACATCGCAGTATATGGCCAGCTAAACATCGCGATATACAGATTTATCATGGTGTCTGAAATAAGGAGGGAGCTATGTAGAGGCATTGGTGAGCCTCACAGTTTTTCCTGCATTGTGAATTTTGCTCTTGTGATTCGCTGCCCCTTGCTTGAGGCAGGGGAGCGCTGAGCCAGCAGAGTTAATGAGAGATGCAGGAATCGAGAGACCCATTGGCTGGCTTCATGGTTTTGCCCACGTTGTGATTTTTGTATAGCGCACACATACATGATAATTCACGATATACTGCCAGGCAGGGCCGGATTTAGGTTTGATGAGGCCCTAAGCTATTGAAGGTAATGGGGCCCTTTATATGTCCAGCTGTCCTTTGTCAACAACAAATTGTCACTGTTTTTGCATGTGTTGAATATATGCTATATGGTAATTTATGGACCTAATAGGTATTTAAAGCCATTTGCACATAACAAAATATGTATTTTATCAAAGTAATTGTTGAACTGAAATTCAATTAAGAAGTATATTAATAGTGAAATAATTGTTAAGCTCTAACTTAAAATGATTTTTTATTCATAACAAACTTAATAATGCAAACACATTGGCATTTGGCAATAACAAAAGTTCCTTTAGAAACACAATTTACAAAGACTTATAATCTAGTCTCTATAAACTTGCTATAACATGAAATAATAATAGGTGTAAATATATGGTGCAAATTACTAATAATTATAAATAGCAGAATGTAGGCACTCTCTATATAGAAATGAGCAAATCAGTAATATTTTAGGGAGCAGGCTAGCAGGCGGGGCCCATGACTTACATCATAGGAGCCTAGACAACACAAAACACTGTTGCTGTATGTAGGTTTTAATTTATTTGTTTTTTATCTTATATTTTGGAAATGTACATCCAGGTTTCCCCCCCCCTTAATTTTTTTGGGGGGAAGGGGCCCAAGAGAGTGGGACCCTAAGCTACAGCTTGTTTAGCTTATACGTAAATCCGGCACTGCTGCCAGGCGAAAAATTATGAAACCGATATCACGATATGGACTTCAAACCAGTTTTGGACGATATATCGTTTACAAACGCCAGCTTCCCCACCTCCAGCTGCTCATCTCCTTCCTTTCAGCCCATTTCTTCCCCTTTCCTTCCCCACAGGCATTTATTCCTTTGGCCTCTTCACTACCACTATCTTTGCCAACGCTGGCCAGGTGGTGACCGGAAACCAGACTCCGCACTTCCTGTCGGTGTGTCGACCCAACTACACTGCCCTCGGCTGCCAGGCGCCCCCAGGCACCATCTACGTCACGGACAAGGCCGCCTGCACGGGGAACCCCGCCCTGGTCACCGCCGCCCGCAAGGCCTTCCCCTCCAAGGATGCTGCTCTCAGTGCCTACGCTGTAGCCTATACTGTGGTACGAGGCTCTGGTGGGTGGAGGGGCCAGGGAAATGGGTTTCGGAGTGAGGAGGGAGCTGAAGTGGCAGGGGTACGAAGAAAGCGCCCATCTCTTCCCACAAGGACATGTTGGATGTGGTGGAGGTGACTGCTGGGCCCGACCTTTCAGAGGCCACCTACACCAAGTTTTCCCAAACTTGGGTCTCCAGCTGGTTTTGGGCTACAATTCCCATCATCCCTGGCCACTGCTCCTGCCAGCTAGGGATGATGAGAGTTGTAGCCCCAAAACAGCTGGAGACTCAAATTTGGGAAATCTAGGGTTTCCATATTTCAAAAAGGGAAAACCAGGACACCCTGAAAGTTAGGAAGACCCCAAAATTGTTGAGTTGTGGTTTTTTTTAGGAAAACCCAAAAGCTGTAGAGTTGCTTTTTTTTAATAACAAAAACGCCCCCCAAAACCACATTCTTGCTTAAAATCCAGGACAAAGCGTCACCTTTTGGAAATTCCCTCCCAAACGTCATTTCTGCCTTTGAAATCCTGATAATGTCTGGGGAAATCTGGATGTATGGCAGCCCTGGGGAAATCCTGACCTATGATCACAAGGCATGCCAGCCAGCTCTGGGTTTTGCTTGCCCCGCCCCAAAGTGGGTTCCTTAGGAGGGCTGGGGTGCCTTCTGATGGGCATGAAGGAAAAACGAGGGGAGGAATGTGGGCCTTTTGCTATCAAGGCTCAGAAAAGAAATGGGTTTCGTGGCTCAGCAGTGTCACAAAGTGTTGCCTGTTCTGAGCAGAGAACCTACCTTCTTTCCAGATGGAGAAGACTGAATGGTCTACCGCCACAGTTGGAGGCAACCCTGCTTCTGAATACCTGTAGCTGGAAACCACGGGAGGAGAGAGGGCTTTTGGGCTCATGTTCCCCTCGCTGGTTCCCCACAAGGCGTATCTGGTTGGCCACTGTGAGAACAGGACGCTGGACTAGATGGGTCCATAGCTGTCAACCGTCCCTTATTTGGCGGGAAAGTCCCTTATCCCAGCACCGTGTCCCGCTGCTGTCCCTTATTGATGATGTCCCTTAAATTTCCCGGGTTTCAAAGGAAGCAGCTCCTCTCCTTCCCTCCCTGCTGGCCAGGGAGGAGGGAGGCTCCAGCTGTGTTGCTTGGTTGCCCGCCCCGCCCCCCTCCGGCCTCCTCTCACCAGCCTCAGCCCCCGGGAGCCCCTCCCCGCCAGGACTGGCGGGAGCCTCGGGCCCTTCCGCCACCATCCTCCTCACGGCCGCTGAACTGAGCCTCTCTGCCTGGGGTAGCATCTTTGTAGCTTGGATTTCGTTTTGCACGAAAAGTGGTTGCTGCTTGTAGTTATTTAATTGCAGTATTTCATCAGTTTGAGCAGCAACCTCTGGAAATTATCTGGTCCCTTTTAACTCCTTATTTCAGGTGGTTGAGTAAAATCCCTTATTTTGGCTGCTGATCCCTTATTTTCGAGGCTGCTGGTCCCTTATTTTCGAGGCTGCTGGTCCCTTATTTTCAAATCTGTAAGTTGACAGCTATGGATGGGTCATTGGCCTGATCCAGCCAGCGAGTTTGTTTCTATGTTTCTAAATAATTTCCCTTTGCCTCTTCAACAACATCTGGGGGACGCCCAGGATCAGCAAGAAAGACTTTAGCTGGGGTGGTGGCAGCAATCTGCTATGGGGTGGGAATACATAAAGGCGGGAATAAAGGCTCATCCAAACTTCCATTTGCTCCACTACTGAATTGGAACCAATGGCAATTGGTTTCCTGCAGAATGCTGATTGTTCCACAGAGAGGATTTCCAGGAAAAGCGACAGAGCAGAGGCAAAATTGCTCGGACCAGAAAACCGCCCAGACCTGTGCTTTCTAGGCAAGGGACAAGCAGAAGTGTGGATGAGCCCTTAATATCTGCATATCGAACAAGACTTTTCAATGTGTTTGCCTGTGTTTGTTTGTGTGTGTGTGTGTGTAAGAGAGAGAAAAGAAGGAGAGAGAAGATACATGGGCTCTGCCTTGGGCAGCAAAATGTCTTGGGGCAAGCAGTGGATGTCAGCCGCGAACGAGGGAGAAATTCATCATATCAAAGAACTGGAAGAGACCAAAAGATGATTAGAGCAGCCTCTATCCTGGGCTGCAGAGCCAGCTTCCCCATTAGGTTTCTTCCTGCATATAAAACACAGCGCAATTCAGACCATGCAGTGCTGCCGAAAGGTGCTTGCTTATTTACTAGCTTTGTGCACTCGCTGGTTTCATGATTAAGATTTACATGATTAAGATTTATTATTATTAAGATTTTCATTATTAACATGATTAATAAGCTGAACAACCAGCTCTAGAGAACAAAGCAGCCGAGTCTTGCAGGAAGAAAGACACACATGCACAGATGCACTGCTGGCCAAACTGACTTGGCGGAGAACCTTTCCCGACCCCAGATATGTGGGCTGGTCAGCCCCCCCGAGAATGAAGAAAAGGAGCCTTCCCACAGGAGAACCGATATGGGGCACACTGTTTCAATTGGGGTTAAAGCAGTGCTGTGTGTACTGAGCTTTCCATTGTGTGTGTGTGTGTGTGAGAGAGAGAGAGAGAGAGAGAGAGAGAGAGAGAATTAGGGAGGAGGCACAGTGGTCAGGGGCAGGGATGCTGACTTGCCCCCACTATTGAGGGATCCAATGTCTGATGTCACATGACACGTCATGCAATGTGCTGATTTCGCACGCGCCACGTAGTGCGAAGCGCTGATGTAACGTGGGGGCCTGGCTCCCTCCTTAAGAACTTTGTGAGGCGCACAAAGTATCTTGGCCCCCTCTAGCTGACACACCTGGTCACAGGTCTTGGGGAAATGTGGTGGCGGCAGCTACAGGAATGTAGGAAATTGCTGGTTGCTCTAAGGCCCATTTCAGTGGGAAGTCGCGGGGGGAGGGCGGGGAATGATTCAGGACTCTGCAGTTGACTGCTACCTCTCTGGAAGCAATACAGAATATTCGCAATAAGAACTGTAAACCCGCCTTCTTTATTTACATTTTAAAAAGACCACAATATAATAGCTGTGCATCCTGCAATGCCCACTGCTCTCTTATGCGTTCCTAACGCCCTCCAAGGAAGACTAAGCAACTGCCCCCACTGCCAGCCTCCGACTGTGACCCTCTGTTGCTCCTCCCTCCCCCTGCAGATGTACGTGACCCTGGTCTTCCGGCTGAAGGGCTCTCGCCTGGCCAAGCCCTCCCTGTGCCTGGCTCTCTTGTGCCCTGCTTTCCTGGTGGGTGTGGTTCGCGTTGCGGAGTATCGGAACCACTGGTCCGATGTGCTGGCGGGGTTCCTCACCGGTGGGGCCATTGCTGCCTTCCTGGTAAGTGATGGTGTGTCTGTCGTGGGCAAGACTGAAGGCAGGCAGGGGGAGGTGGGGCTTCCACATAGGACATGGGGAAGAGAGAGCTCGGGCCGCCCCACCTGCAGATGAAGGATGTTATCTGGTGCAAGACCTTGAGATGCAGGGAGATGGGCTAGATACTCAAGAGTTGTGCCATGTGGGCCTTCAAGGGGGGAAGGGGGGACTTCGTGAGCAGTAGACTAATGTTCTGTTCTCTTCGTTCTTTTCTCTTTGGCGATTAATAATAATAATAATTTTTTATTTATATCCTGCCCTCCCCAGCCGAAGCCGGGCTTAGAGCAGCTAACAACAGTAAAAGTAACACAGTTTACATAAAATCACAATCAGTTAATTGAAATACATTCTAAAGTCAATTCAATTCAGAGTCAAATTAATGGCAACCATTGGGCTCGAGTTCTATGAGGATTACAGAAGGAGAGAGGGGGTCAGATTGTGCCTTGGCCAAAGGCCTGGTGGAACAGCTCTGTCTTGCAGGCCCTGCGGAAAGTCCCGCAGGGCTCTAGTCTCTTGTGACAGAGCGTTCCACCAGATCGGGGCCACGGTTGAAAAAGCCCTGGCTCTGGTTGAGGCCAGCCTAAACTCCCTGTGGCCCGGGATCTCCAAGGTGTTTTTGTTTGAAGACCGTAAGGTCCTCCGCGGGACATACCAGGAGAGGCGGTCCCATAGGTATGAGGGTCCGAGGCTGTATAGGGCTTTGAAGGTTAAAACCAGCACCTTAAACCTGACCCTGTACTCCACCGGGAGCCAGTGCAGCTGGTATAGCACCGGGTGAATGTGATCCCGCAGTGAGGACCCCGTAAGGAGTCTTGTCGTGGCATTCTGCACCCACTGGAGTTTCAAGGGCAGCCCACATAGAGTGAGTTCTATAATCAAGTCTGCAGGTGACCATCACGTGGATCATAGTGGGTAGGACAGGGCGAGAGAGGTAAGAAGATTGTCTTCCATAAACACGGTTTTAACAATGCGTCCCTAAGTGACTGTGGAGGCCAATTCTGGATCCACATGTCCTTCCACAGTGGGGACATAGGTTTCCTGGTGGGAGTTGATCACGGTGAGGGTTTGCCAAGCGTGCCTTCCTCTTAGCACTTTTCTCCCTTTCGTCCTGAATTCAAGTGTCCTCAATGCCCATGACACCTTTGGTAAAGGCTGTTCTCCAGTTGGAGCACTCGCAGGCCAGTGTTTCCCAGTTATCAGTGCTTATACAGTGGTACCTCGGGTTAAGTACTTAATTCGTTGCGGAGGTCCATTCTTAACCTGAAGCACCACTTTAGCTAATGGGGCCTCCTGCTGCCGCTGCGCAATTTCTGTTCTCATCCTGAAGCAAAGTTCTTAACCCGAGGTACTATTTCTGGGTTAGTGGAGTCTGTAACCTGAAGCGTATGTAACCTGAAGCATATGTAACCCGAGGTACCACTGTACTATATTTTTTCAGATTTGCTTTGAGAGCATCTTTAAACCTCTTTTGTTGTCCACCGGCATTTCGCTTTCCATTCTTAAGCTGGGAATAGAGTAGTTGCTTTGGAAGACGAAAGAAGCCTAATTTAATAAGTGTCTGCACAGCAGTTACAGGAGCCTCCTCACCAGATTATTAGTATTATTATCAGATTAGTACTTCACCTACACCGAAGCCTCTAGGTGCCGTACAACATACAAAGTAGGAAATGCAATTACATGGAAACATTGGCAAGCATTGTGCAAAACTACGTGTAAAAAGCTTGCCTCTCCAAAATAACAGCCTCCGTAAATAATGTTACAAACCAAAGCAGGGGTGAGATGTTAATTCTAAAGCCCTAAAAATCCTACCACTGTTAAAGCTGACAAAATTGCCAAGGACTACAGAAAAATGAACAAACTTGTGGGGTGGGGCATAGCTTTGCCTGGCACCGAAAAGATGGCACAGAAGGCACCAGGTGATCTTCCCTGGGGAAAGTGTTCTATAGAAATGGTGCCATCACCAAAAAAGTCCTGTCTCTTGACGCCACTCTTGTTTGTTTGTTTGTTTGTTTGTTTGTTTGTTGTAATTTCCAATTTTATACATTTCAATAATTTTACAATCATTTTAACATTTCAGTTTTGATGTATTTTTGTTTTTAGTTATACTTTTCAAGTTTATACATTTCATTAGTTTCACAATCAATTTAACATTTCAAAATATGACTTCCTTCCCTCTCTTTCTGCAGTTTAAAAAATACATTCTGCATATCCAAATTCATTTAATTTGCTCATTTAATTATCTACTTTAAATATATACTCTTATGAAACTGCAGGTTATTACAATAATCCTGCTAATGTTTCTATCTGTTTGCAATTTATCTGGAAATATATCATTCTAACATTCATAACTTGACTTCCTTCCCCCTCATCCTGCAGTTCCTTAAATTCATTTTAAATATTTTCTGCATATCCAAATTAACTGAATTTGCTCATTTATTCATCTACTTTAAATACATACTCTTACAAAACTGCAGGTTATTACCATAATCCTGCCAGTGTTCTTATCTGTTTACAATTTATTTGTAAATATTCAACAAACCGTTTCCATTCTTTTATAAAAAGTTTGTTATCTTGATTTCTTATTCCTCCAGTAAGTTTCACCATTTCTATGTATTCCAGAAGTTTTTGTATCCATTCTTCCTTTGCTGGGACTTCTGTTATTTCCACTTTGGGGCAAGTAACATTCTTGCTGCTGTAGTTGCATACATGAATAAATTTCTATACAGTTTGGGTAGATCTGTCCCTACAATTCCCAACTTGATGCCACTCTCTATACTTCAAGTGGAGACATAATTTTCAAATAAAAACATCTTGAAGGTCCCAGGCCACAGAGAGGTTAGGCTGGCCTCAACTAGAGCCAGGGCTTTTTCGGCTGTGGCCCCGATCTGGTGGAACGCTCTGTCACAAGAGACTAGGGCCCTGCGGGACTTGACATCTTTCCGCAGGGCCTGCAAGACAGAGCTGTTCCACCAGGCCTTTGGCCAGGGCACAGCCTGACTCCCTCCTTCAGCAATCTTCGCGGAGCTCTGGCCCAATGGTTGCCATTGGTTTGATGTGAATTAATTTTATAATGAATGATTTTAGAGTGTTGTGTTGTGTTGTACTGTTGTACTATTTTATTTTTGTTAGCCGCCCTGAGCCCGGCTTCGGCTGGGGAAGGCGGGATATAAATAAAATTTATTATTATTATTATAAGAGAGCCCCCACTGACAATTATAAGGTTAAGATAGGCTTATTTAGGAGGAGTTCAGGTACCAGGTTCCTAAGCTGCATAAGAGTTTAAAAGTTAATACCAACACTTTGAATTGGGCCTGGAAACATTCTAGCACCCACCTGTGTAATATCCTCAGAACACCTGATCCTAGTAAGTCACCGTGCTGCCAAATTCTCCACCAACTGAAGTTCTGAACCAACTTCAATGGCAGCCTCCTGCATTAATCTAGAGGGAGGTTACCAGAGCATAGGTCACTAATGCTAGGCTATCTCCATCCAAGACAGGGTCACAGTTGTGCCACCAGCAGTCCACACCACAGGGAACGTCTGTGCCTTCAGTGGTAACAATGGATGTAGGAATGTTCCCAGTCTCCTTCAGGAAGAGTACAACCACCTCCAGAACTGGCTGGGTACCACTTCTCTGGACCAAGAAGCCATCGTCAAACAGCACCTCTGTCTTGTTTGGATTTAGCCTAATTTTGTTGCTCTCATCCAGTCCATTGCTATGCCCAGCACATCCACACCCAGAGGAGATGAAAAGGAGAAATGTGTTTGTGTGTCCATCCAAAAAGTTGATAATGCACTCCAGGATACCCCACTTGGCAGTTTAATGTACTGTAGATATTAAATAGCATAGGGGATAAGATTGAACCCTGTGGAGCCACAACCCCTAACTAGGTCAGCCATCCCAGAAGCGTACCATGGTAGATGATGCCAGAAATGGTTAGAGCAGTTCTCAACCTGTGGGTCCCCAGATGTTGTTGGACTACACTCCCATCATCCCTGAGCTCTGGCCTTGCTAGCTAGGGGTGATGGGAGTTGTAGTTCAACAACATCTGGGTACCCACAGGTTGAGAAAAACTGGCTAGAAGAACCAAGAGGATCACATTTCTACTGTCTCCTTCCTAGCACAGGGCAACCCAAGGTAGTGACAAAAGCACACCTAACCCTCGGTTGATATGGATCCAGAAAACCAGTGTCCTCCAAGAATATCTGCATCTGATCAGGTTTGGTGGTGCCTTTTAACAGGACCTTACCAGGGTTTCATTTGAGTTCATTTATGAGCATGGAAGTGTTTGTTTAAATGCCAGCAGGTGGTGGTATTGCTGCAGGGGACCTCAAATTAACTGCTGTAAGGGACCTCAAGAAACACCAGGAACAACTTAACATGACACAGCAGGGGGTTATTGGAATTGTAGTCCAAGAACTTCAGGAGGCCCGATGATACTCATACCTTCCCTGGGTACTGTAGTGCACATAGAACTGAGTCCTGCAGCCCCAAACAAATTGTGTGGCTCATTGTGTGGCTAGGGTACTCTTTCCCCATTGTGGGAAAATAATGTGTGACTGCTTGGGCCCCCTTTGGTCTGACCCAGCAGGGCTTTCCCCATATATGGAAAGGAGTCAAGGAGCTTGGCCAATAGCCGTTGGCACGGAGTCAAGGAAGGCTAGCATTAGCAGAAAGTGCCATATGTGGTGGACCGGTAAAAGGGTAAAAGAGTATTGGGTAATAATTCATAATGAAATGAAGAAAATGTTTATAAGTACTTTTCCAGAGTCCTTTTTGTTGAGGATAATTCAGCCGGAAATTCCCAGGTGTCAAAAAAGGTTATTTTTGTATGCCGCCACTGTGGCCCGTGTTTTGTTAGCCCAAAAATGGAAAACGAGCGATGTCCCAACCAAAGAAGAATGGCAACTTAAACTGATGGAATATGCACAGCTTGTGGACCGAACATATAGAATAAGAGAACAATAAGAACGTACATTTAAAGAAGATTTGAAGATGTTTATTGCATATATGGGGGGCGGGAATTGTGTACACTCGAAAACATGGGCAGCATTAAGATAAATTCAACAATGCAAACAAGGTTTGATGGATGTAATAATGGAATACTGAATGGTTTAGTTTATGTAAAATATGCAGGGATTTATGTTATGCAAAATGAACCATGGAAAGAGAAGAGGGGAAGTCATTGATGTTTTAAGGTTGTTTAAATGCATTTTCTAAAGTGTAAAACAGAAAATTTAATAAAAAATATGCACAAAAAGGAAAAAAAGTAAAGGAAAGGACTTGGGGAGCTTGGCCTATAGCCATGTGCATGGAGTCAAGGAAGGCTAGCATGAGCAGAAAGTGAAGAACTAAAGTAGAAGAACTAAAATTGGGCAGAAAGTTTAGTTGTTGTTGTTGTTTAGTCGTTTAGTCGTGTCCGACTCTTCGTGACCCCATGGACCAGAGCACTTCCACTGCCTCCCGCAGTTTGGTCAGACTCATGTTTGTAGCTTCGAAAGTCTTCTCTTCTCATGAGGTGGCCAAAGTATTGGAGCCTCAGCTTCAGGATCTGTCCTTCCAGTGAGCACTCAGGGCTGATTTCCTTAAGAATGGATAGGTTTGATCTTCTTGCAGTCCATGGGACTCTCAAGAGTCTTTTCTTTCACTGTATTGTTCGGGATCAGGCGAAGAGGGTTTTTATGCTCTTACCTTCTTTTGCTGGCAGGTGACTTGCGTGGTCAACAATTTCCAGAGCAGCCCACCTACGGCCAAGAAAACAACCCCAACTGAAAGCAGCTTGCCCAGTGTCCCTGTCATGGGCTTGCCCTGTGTGGACAGTTCCCTAGAAAAGTTGAGTGTGGCTCAGGTAAGCGGCATCCCGCCCAGCAACCCTTGCCTACCTCCTGCTCTGCGACGTCCTGAAACATCTCTACAACTTATGCACAGACACACAGTTGGCTCCAGGTTTGGGGGTGGGCTGTGGGCAAAATGTGGCCCTCCATTGGGCTCCCTCCTCAGTCAGTGGGCCATGACAGGCCTACATGGCACAGTGGGAGCAGGAGTGGGGAGCAACTAGAGTTCTCTGATCAACTGGCTTTAGCCACCACTTAAATCCCATACAGCATCCCAGAGGAACACTATGTTGGGGCATTATGGGAAATTCCTCCAGTTTAGATGCTAGACCCAGTTGCTTGGAGTGCTGGGTCTGATAGATAGATAAATAGATATATCTTCTGATATACATGTAAGGCTATCATCATTCAGTCCTACTTGGAGAATTTCTCATCAGAACCCTGAGTTTGCATGAAGTTAGGGTGGGGAAGGGCAGCAAAAGCAGGTTGTAAAATGCCACTTTTAAACAGGAGCATAGGTTGGACTAAAGGAAAAAGAGAAGGAGAAAGTGGTGATTTGAAAGAATGCAAAGGGTTTAAGTAGAGTGAGGAGGGGGTGACAGTGAGGGATGGAAAGTGGCAATTAAAAGCTTGAGCACTGGAAGGAGTAAGTTGGGAAATGCTCTGTTGTGTTAGCTTCAGATAGTCCATAAGTAGCTTCCCACAATCATACATTTCATTCCTGGTGCCTTGTGTTGTCCTCAACATGAAGTTCTGGGCTCGATGCAGTAATTTAGAAGAGATATTCTATGGGGAATTCCATGAATGACTACCTGAGTTCCACCATGAAAGTGGCATGTACCATAATACACCACACAAGGAGAATTCAAAAGTCTCTGTTGCTTAGAGGCCCATATAATCTTGGTGTGATGGAAAGGACAAAACTGGGAGAAGACATAATGTGTCTAGTGAAAAATGAGAGATGATAGCTGGAGGGAGTAATCAGGAAGCAAGAAAGGAGGTTGTGGTAATCCAGGAAATGTTTGGGTGGAAGAAATGGGTTTTAAGAGGGAAGGCAAAGACGAAAAACAGGTTGTCTCAGATGTAGGGAGCAGCTCCAAAGTGACTGTTGAAGACTGGAGAGCAGATGAATTTGTGCAGAGGGAAGGGAGCAGGGGTTGAGGAAGATGGGAGGGCAGAGCTATAGAACAAGTTCACATAAAGCAACCTCTTTTGTGTGATGGGACATGTCTGGCTGCCCATCACATGGTACCTAAGCTGTACTGCAGCCACTCTCTTATCTCTCTGCTCCACTTCAGGAGTGGTCAAAGGGAGGACTGACTAGCTGTTGCCTTGATGAACAACTGGGCAGCCGCTTTGGCATGGTTTCTGAGAATTGCCCTTCTTACAGGGATATCTGAAACCTGGTGAATATCATCATTCACGCATGAGTACCCACCATCACAGATTAATTCACGATTGTCTGAAAGCAGAGTATGTGTTTCCTCAGTTTTAGAAATGTATGAATGAATGCCAACAGCCAAACCAAGCTGACTATAAACATTCATTGGTGTATCCCCGAGCTTTCAGTTATTCACAAAATCTGTTTAGATTGCCAACCTTTACACGTGAATGTGACACACCCGAACTTTTCTTTTGGCCTCTTTTACGCTTACAACTGCTCTCTTTGTTATTTTCTGCACCAGAGCTTTTACTCACTAATAATCTATATGCATAGCACTGAGTTTTCCCTCCATTCTAAACCACCTTTTCCCCCCCACTCCTTTTTATCTCGATAAGGATTTGGGTCTCCAATTCTCTATCCAAGTATGTAGCCTTGGTGAGGTTTGTGTGTCAGGGGTGTGTGTTTGTGTAACTTTTTCTCCTCCACCCACCCACCTCATCAAATTCTCTCTCTGTAGATCATGCCACGCATTTCCTTTTAATATTGCCAGAATCCATCCCTTTCTGTTATCAGTTGCTAAATCGTTGCTTCGGGCTCTGATTGTTTCTCATCTGGGATTCCCGTCATGTTTTGTTTTCTGTCTGGCTCTCTCTCACCTTAAATTTTTCATTTCTCTTCCAAGTTCTGCTTGCTGAATAATCCATACCGCATGGCGGTGCTTTGATCATGTCATTCCTCTTTACTGCTTACTGGACTGGGTCCCTATTATCTTCCAGAGACACTTTTGCTTCCTGCTTTGACATCCTGGAAAGACCTTTCGGCTCTTTGCACTTGCAGTTTCCGATCGCTCGCTATGTTGCACTATGTCTGCTTTTTGCTCCCTCTCCTGACGAGGCCTTGGGTTTCTTGCCCTGTCCTTCCCTTCTCTACTTGCTAGGAGTCCTCTTTCTCCTGCTAATGTCTTGCTTTCTTCCATAGAAAAGCAAACAGAATACACAGGTGCTTTTTTTAAAAGTGCCTTGTTGTCTAAAACAAATAACCACAGAAAAAAATAATCCAACATGCAAAAAGTGCTTGATCCATTGGCTCACAGTCTGAATGCAGAGAGCTTTTAAAGATGCCTAGACTTGATGCCAAGAATAAAATGGAGCAGTGCCAAAAAATTGAGTAGGGTGGGTTCATTTGTCAGAAGGAAAAAGGCTCTTCTTGGCTGAGCTATTCTGAACCGTTTGAGAGGGGAAGGTTAGCATAAAGGAAGGCCAGGAAGGAAGAGGTAAGGAGTTGCAGAACTTGGAATGGTGGATCTTTAGGGTGATGAAAAGGAGGAAGCAGGGGGCAGCAAGACATGGCCAATATCTTGCCAGCTCTAACCTCAACAGGGAAGTGTGTCAGGCTAGCTACTCCCCTTAGTTCTTGAGCCCCTAACTCTAGCTGCCTCCCTGGATGTGGGGAGGTTAACCACCACAATGATGCCTGGACCGCGAGGGAGAAAGCCACCTGCCAGCCAACTCTCTTGAATTCCCAATCTCCTTGCAATTTGCTTATCTCAGAGCCTGCTCAGTCCACCCTTCCCTTCTCTGCTCACATATCTGTAAGCCCAGAGCGACTCCTGTTCAAGCAAAGTCTTACCTTCAGCATGGTTGGGTGGGATTGGCTCCAGATGTTGGTGAACTACCTCACCCCCTGGCTATTGTCCGTACTAGCTGGGGCTGATGCAAATTTGAAGCAGGAGGTTCCTCTCTCTGTGTCTACTTTCCCCCATGCAGACACATCAGTACAAGTTGAGTTGCAGTCCCAACACTTTCAAACAGCAACATCTGGAGGACAACATAGTCTCCATCCCTGCTTTAGACACAACCCCTGTGATGGAAATGTGGGGCTGATTATGGACCTGATTGGTCCTCTGCCCCCAACCAAATGCTGCAGGCAGGCAGGCAGGCAAGGAGAAAGTGGCCCTTCTACACAGAAAGCATGAGTCGAGGCCCCGCTCCCTGCTTTGTGATGAAATAAGACACACAGACACAAGTAGTTTAGGTTAATGGGTTAAAAAAGGACATGACTTTATTGGTTACAGAATGTGAGTGGTATTGGCTTAGGCATTGGGATCCAAACAGACTATACTTGACTCCTGCCCGCTCTGCAGGGAGTCACACGAGGGTTAACAACCAAGTAGGGGGAGCTTGTTGATGCAAATCAACTGGAAGCTTTCCCCTAGAGTCACCAGGGGTCGAGCCATGGCCCTAGCCGCCACCTGGGCTTCGGACATGAACTACGACCGCCGGATTCCTTTAACAGAATACCCTTCAAGGGGAGGGGGAGGTGATGGCCACAACCTCCCCTCTGACACACAATGCTTTTCCAGTGCCTAACCACCAAACCTTACAAAGTTGTGACAATTTGCTACGAGGTAAGTGAAAAACCAAGTGGCTGGACCCAATCTGCCAAGTGGAACTTATTTACTACCAGGCCCCTTGGGCAACCAAGGCGACCGACTGAGGTCCATAGCAAGGTCAGGTGCTGAGGCAAAGCCTAAAGGGAGGGCGGGTGATCTGAGGAAGCCGGGAACAAGGAGGAGGAGCTTGTAGGGCCCGCGGCCTTTTTAAACAGCAAGACCACGCCCACCAGCCCACTGGATTGGCTGGCTGGAGTGTGTGACACAGGCCCAGGACTCCAGTGACACAGGGGGCCTGGCCACACACCCCTGCAGCCGCGGGAAGCGATTCCCGCTCACAACACCTCCCCACCGGGAAGAGGAGAGGCTTTATACATAAACAGAGTGAGTTTTTGTGAACCTTTCCATGCCCCGAATTCTGGAACTTTTGGGATTCACGAGTCCTTCTTTGTGTGGCATGAGCCACCTTGTCCCCAAGCCCTCGCCATTCTCCACACCTTGAAAATAATCCAAAACTTCCATTTCCTTCCCTCCCCAATCCAAGCAAGCGTGTGTTGACCAAGCAGCTAATTGTTTCAATCTCTGTGTCGTTCTCTCCCAACCATCCGTGTGTGCTCCCCCACTCCCCTGCTATGGTGCTGCCTGCCCGCCCCCCTTGGGGTGGGGTGGGGATGTAGCAGGTGAGGGACCCCCCAGAAGAACAGGAGTTTTCTACACTACTCTCAAGAGGCCTGGAAAGGCAGCTAGCGCGATCTCTCCGCTTGGCGGCGCCTGGAAACGCAGCAATGGCCCGCCCCTACGAGTAAGTGACTGATCCGGAGGAAGGGGGAGGGAACTGCCTTTGGGTCAGACTCAGCCCCCTGCAAGATGCCATCCCCACTGCTTGCTCAAGGCGGAACACTCATCGAGGGAGAATAATATTTGGGCAGGGCGTCAGCGTAGGGAATAACTAGAGGTCAAGGAAGTTGAGGGCCGCAAGAGTTGAGAAGAGAGGGCTGTGCGAATGGATGGGTCCAGAGAGACAGACATGAAGATGTCAAGGGAGTTGGGTCAGTTGCTTTGATGGTTTGAGGAGACCCTTCAGGTGGAAAGGAAGCATGGAAGGAAGCAAGAACTTTCCCATCCACCTACACTAGGTGAGCTGGAATGCTCGAATTGAAGCAGAAATTCCCCACCCCAACTAGGTATGGTGAGGACAGGACGCCCCAGCTGTGTAAAGCCCATAGCTCAGTGCCCAGGTTCAGTTCCCAGATTCTCCAGGAACAGCTGGGAAAGATTCCTGCCTGAGACTCTGGTGAGCGGCTTCCAGCCGGTGTAGAAGACAATACTGAGCAGGTTGACCAAATGGGTCCAACTTCCTATATTCCTTAGTCATCTGCATGGCTGGGGTTGCCTTGCAACTAATGGGCATCTCAACATTGATATACCATAGCCTAGTGTTTCTCAAACTTGGATCTCCAGCTGTTGTTGGACTACAACTCCCAATATCCCTGGCCAATGGTCCTGCTAGCTAGGGATGGTGGGAATTGTAGTCTAACAAGAGCTGAAGACCCAGGTTTGAGAAACATTGCCATAGCCTGTGAGCAGAGGCAGCCTCTAAGTGCGGTGAATTGCCCAGCAGGCAATCCTCTTATCTTAAACGAAAGTATATTTTATTAGGGAAAATGTCTAAGAATTGGAAGCACATTAGAAACTGAAGAGATGATCTGAACATTATTTAATACTAAAGAGAACAATGAACCAGGAGAAATAAGCCTCAAAGTGTTCATTTGGTTCTTCCACTTGGCTTTTTAGCCTGCATCCCTCATGCCTTTTTGCAGGGGTGTGGGGCTGTTTTCAGCCTGAGAGTTTCCATCTATCTTTTAGGATTGGTGCAGCTGACTGAATTTCCATCTCAGTTTCAAAACCCACAAAATATTTGGCCCTCTTAAAGTACACACACACACACACACAAACACACACAAGTATATAAGGCAATGCTAATTACATGGCTGCCTGGAAATGAGCGTCATGATCCCTACAGTTAGTTTTCTGTTCAGTCAGAGCAGTGTTTCCCAGCCTTGAGTCTCCAGCTGTTTTTGGACCACAATTCCCATCACCTTTGACCACTGGCCCTGCTAGCTAGGGATTATGGGAGTTGTAGTCCAAAAACAGCTGGAGCCCCAAGGTTGGGAAACACTGAGTAAAGGTGGGGGAATCTGTGGCCCTCTCAATATTGCTGGACTACAACTCCCATCATCCCTCACCACTGGCCATGGGTTTGGAATCCTACAGCATTTTGGGGGGTGGAGCACAGGTTCCCTTAATGAAGTCCTACATTTAAGCTGTCAGAGGCTCTTCAACATCACAGGAAATTGTAACCAGCGATGCCAAAATACCTCTGAAAAGTAGTTTCCGGTCTACATGGGTTGACACATGTGATAACCCATCCTACAGGATGAGCAAAATTGGGCCAGCACATGTAAATCCAGGAGAGATCAGCTTGTTTTGATCGCAGCTTGCGGGTGGAGGAGGAATGCCTGTCATAATATGATGTCCACCGAGGGTGGGGAGGGGATTGTCAGCATCCATCTGTCTCAAGATACAATGGAGTGTGCCTCCAGGGGTGAAGTCAGACTGCGGTGTTAGCAGCACCAAAGCAACCTCACTGGAGCACTAAGCCTGGGCAGGATGTATGGAGGTCCTGGGCTGCCCAGATGATACGACGGCCCTCTTGGCCTTGCTGATGTGGTCCAAAGGAAAGCAGGGCACCATGCAACTGTCTTAGGGACTCGACTCTGGATTTGTGTAGGATTAGCCTTTTCTTCTCCCAAAGATATCCTGCAAGGGGGCAGACGTCTAGGACCGGAGTTTTCCTACTCCTAGATGGGTACCTTTCCAGGTTGACGAGCCCCATCTGCCCCTCAGTGAGGGGGCAGCATCACCCTAAATCGCAGAGAGCTCTCTTCATTTGAAGGGCAGGGGATAGTCATCCTTGGGCGAGATCCTTATTCTGACAATTCTGTGTGCAACAGGAGGCCTGGCAACATGGCGGAGTAGGTTAACAAATGCCCATGGAGGTGCGTTTGCATGGACAGCTTATCTGTGGATGCCCATTGCCCATCCTGCAGGCAACATGCACCAGCCTTTCCCCCCGCCCCCTGCTTCCCTGAGCTTGAGCATTAATAACCCGCTTGCTCTGGCTGTGCCATGCTTTCTCTGATGCTTTGCAGAACAGCGGGAAGTGACCTCAACATAGTGAGCAAAGTCCTGAGGGTTAGCCTGCTTGGGCAGCTGGGGTACAACCCAGCAGCTGGCTTCCTTAAGAATGTGACTGCCACACCATGCTTCTG